TCTGTTTACTTCTCGAGTTTTACTCACTTCATTTTGCGGACGGACACACATACATACATACATACACACATACAGACATACAAACCGACACACAAAGTTAGCGCTTTATAAAATAGAAGGATTGTTAGTTGCTTCCAAATTTTTGTGATTAAAAAATAAAGTTGGAAAGTTTTTTTTTCTGACGCAGGTAATTCTTCGCCACCCTGTGTATAGTCTTATGGTACTCTGGTAAGATTATACAAATGATCACACCTGTTCCGCGACATTTGCTAGCTTGCGATTGGTAGTGGGCAGCCTAAGCACCTCCATGTCTAATGTGTAGTAGGTCTGTACGGTGTCCGTCTCTATAAGTGGGGATTAAGGAGTCAAAAAATGGTTCAAAAGCTGAAATCATGGTGACTGGCGAGCATTGCATTTCTCAAAACTCCCTTTCTTGTATCTATGTACATATATTGCCGGGCGAGCCTTCAACTGTGCCACCAGAAGTTATACACTACCTTGATCTTACTACACCAACTCCTTTTCTTGAAGGAATTTTCCCTTTCTTGAGCAATCTTCGAGTCGTTTGAAAATAGAAAACAATATTGCTCATTCATGGGCAGAGATGGCCAAGCCAGTAGAGTGTAGGTTCATGTATGCACCTCTGTAAGGCGAGGGTTCAATCCACTGCTGATGCCTAACCATGCCCTGCAGAAACTACAAAAATAGTTGCAGTACCAGGCTCAGGTTGACAGGCCGGCTGATGAAGATCCTCGTCACACAAGCATGTCAAAGTTTCAAAATGTGTCAGCGATAAAGGTACGTCGCAAAAGGACCTGCCTGAGTGCTGTGATCAGTATGCGAGGGCTACCGAAGAGGGACGACCTCCGTCAAACAAGCTAGTTCGGAGCGGGAATTGCAGATCTGATGACGCGCATCTTGTATTCAGGAGACGAGACAGAAATTGACGTAAGGATAGGGGAAATCGGGGAAAGTATCAAACTACTGAAATGGAGGAGCACCAAACGGAACAGTGCGGCAATAATGACAAGTAGCCGTTCAAGGACTATGTCTCCGCTGCAGACGGGGCCAGGACGGGCCAAGGAACGACTCATGGCTGTCCGGATAGAAACGAGGGTGGGCTCCTAGATATTACTGTCCGTGTAGGTATTCTGTAGCATTGCGGCAAACCGAATGCCTCGAGAGTGAAAAGGACGAGTTTTATCTGAGCCCTGACGACGGCGTATAGATTCCTGAAGGTATCTCATAATAGCAGGTGAACTGAATGGCTACGTCGGCAGTGAGAGAAGTCCTCCGTCACTTGTCAGTGCTGATGCGGCCATGAGAGGGAAAGGGTGCACGGAGGTAGCAGGTTTTCCGCGAAAAGGGAGGTTCCGATCCACAATCTAGTGGAGGGAGAGAAACGGAAATCGACTACGTGCTCGCAGGAAAATAAAGAATGTAAAGGTACTTCCTGACAAAAATTGGCTCCGAAGCACAAGGCTTTCCTGGCCAGACGTTGCATTAGATCTCCCAAAGACGACATGGGCGAGCATACAGCGGAGAGTCGGTGGTGAATTACACCAATCGGAAAAGTGCGATTTCAAATGGAAG